ATTTCAAAAGGAGAGAAATGGAGAAGGGCTTGTGGTGTGATCATTACTATGAGGGGGAGTGTGTGTGCTTTCTCACTTTCACTCTTTCTCTCACTCTCTCTCTGTTGAGTGCACGTGCTCTCTAGCAAAATTTACAAAATGGTTATGACAGTAAAAATTATATTGTGTGTATTTTTTTTTTTTGGAGAGATTTTCACTGCAGGGCGCGTGCGCTCGCCAGACAGACAGAGAGAGACATAGAGACAGAAAGCGAGAAATCACCCCCCAGGGGGGATGGTCACGTCACAATCCCTTCTCCTCCATTCTCCTCTCGGGATCTTGGGCACGCACGCACATGCGCCTGGCGTGAGTTTTAAGCCACCGGGTCCGGGACACGAACCGCAGTCGACTACGTGGGAGTCCAGCGACATAGCCATTACGCTAACTGCTGGTTCCCATGTGTATTTCATGCATACACTGACAGAGGGAGACATCAGAGCGTTGTAGCACAAGCCAACGAATGCTGGCAGGCACTAGAGGCTGGATGAGGCGAGGAGAACGACTCCCTTCGAGAATATCCATAGTGTGGTTCTGTTGACACCTTGACTTCAGTCCGGAGAAACTGATTTCCGACTTCGGCCTTCCAGAACTAGCAGAGAATAAATCTCTGTTGTTTTAAGCCACTGAGTTTGTGGTACTGCAGACACAGGAAATGAATACAGGGATCAGTGACCCGATGCCCTGGGCTTCCCAAACAAGGAAAGGGAAAGGAGAGAACATCACAGCAGCCCTCGAGGTCCCTCCCCTTTGCTTGTGTCTTACTGTTGATGATGTCCCTTCACACCCATCATTTGAGAAAGCCACTGCCACCTGCGCTGCCCTATTTCAGATATTCAAGGACACAGTTGTCAAGTGAGCTGTCCATGGTCTGCTGTTGTTGGTGACTGAGCTGAGATTTTTCTTTTTAAATCTTTTTTTTAAAAAATTGATTTATTTAATTTTAGTTATTTATTTATTTTAATTCGACCAGAGAGGGACCGAGTGAGAGAGAGAGGGAAAGTGAGAAAGCAAACTTCTAGGTTGAACCGTGGTTGACCATGTGAGAGTCCAGTGCCCTTAACCACCATGCCACCTGCCAGCCCTGGCTGAGCCAAGATTTAAATTTACCACTCAAACTAGTCTCTCAGTCTCTGCTTCCCTAACTTTGCATTTAGACTGTTGGTTTATTGTGTGACAAGAGTTTAGGAGCTGGCCACTTCAGCATAGGGTCCTGCTATGGTTTGAATAATGGTTTATCCTTCAGAGGCTCATGTTCTGAAATTAAGTCCCCAATGTAATGGTTTCGGGATATGATGAGACCTTTAGTAGGTGAAACCCAGTAGTGTTTGGATCATGAGGGCACCGTCCTCATGAGGGATTAATGCTGGTCTGTGAGTGAGTTCTCAGTTCTGTGAGAAGGGGCTAGTTCCTGTGAGAGTGGATTTTTTTTTTGGAGAGGTTTTTGCTATAGGGCACGTGTGCTCACCAGACAGACAGAGAGAGACAGAGATAGAAAGTGTGCTCACTAGACAGACAGAGATAGAAAGTGAGAAATCACCCCCCAGGGGGGATGGCCACACTGTAGTCCCTTCTCCATTCTCCTCTTGGGATCTTGGGCATGCACGCACATGCGCCCGGCGTGAGTTTTAAGCCACCGGGTCCAGGACTCAAACCGCAGTCAACTACATGGGAGTCCAGCGACATAGCCATTATGCTAACTGCTGGTCCTGTGAGAGTGGATTTTTATACAACAAAGAGATACCTTCAGGTCTCTCTGTGTGTGTGTCTTCTGAGCTTTCTGCTTTTCTCTGCCATGTTGTGATGCTGCAGAAACTAGCCCCATCCTCATGGACTTTCCAGCCACCAGAATTGTGAGCCAAATAAACCTCTATTCTTCATGAATTACTCAGTCTCAGATGTTTCTGTTTAACAGCACAATAATTAAATAAGACAGGCTCCTTGCCAAGAAGCATAGTTTAGCCAGTATGGGGTGGACACTGCACATTGTGGGCCTGCTGGGAGGAGCTTCTGGGTTGGCAGGAGAGGTGGGACTCCCATGAGACCTGGACAGGTGAGGAGTGTGGAGGTAGGTGGAGAAGAGGATATTCGACGATTCCCACTTAATGATCAATCATTAACCTTCAACATGCTGAGTCCTTCCTGTCATCTGTAGATATTAGCTGAGTGACTTCAGAGTCATTTGAATACTTATTATTTTTCTGACTGTGGCTTTTTAAACTGAGAACCCTAATCTGAACACTGGTTGTAAGCTTGTGTGGACTTGGGGCATTTGGGGGTGGGGTGGGTAGGTCTGCTTCTTGCTCTCAGGCCCATCCATCCTCAACTACCCACACGACCAAGTGTCTGTCTGGCTTACTTCTTTCCATAGGATTCTGATAACAAGGTCCCTTTTAGTGACCACACTTTGGTTTTGGTTGGCATCAGTGAAGGCAAGAGAGCAGTGACCCAGCAACTCTGGCCAGCTGTGTGGGAGCGGATGGTACATCACACTGTGTTCTCTCCAAAGTATCCGTTCAGGGGAAATTGGGTTTAAAATGTCCCTTCATAGGGACAAATGAGGAAGGGAGGTTGCAAAAGGGCTCCAGGCAGCCTGGGGATGACCATGGAGCGGGTTGCTTCCTGATAACATACTTTTAATCTATTTCTATTTGTAGCTTCTGCTGACCCCTCTAAATATTTGACCCTCCCAGTCCTGCCCCCATGCTTGTCCTCTCCTGGCATGTCCCTTCCTGCCACCTTACCCGGCCCCTTTTATTCCAGGGCCCTGCTTGCCCCAGTTTCCCCAGGCTTTCCTCCAACCTCACCTCATTCCCAGGTCAAATTCTTTGCATTAGTTCTTCTCCTTAAAGAGAAGTCAAATCACGATGGCAATTCTATAGGTAGTTGTCTCATCTCTGATGATGGTCTGTCTCCCTCACTGGGCAGGAAGACCTGTGACAATCAGAACTGTGTAAGTCTTGTTCACAGCTGTGCTCCCAGGGTGGCACACAGGAGCTGGCATGTCCAAGGTGCTCTTTTTTTTTTTTTTTTTTTTGAGAGGGTTTTTTTTCAGTATAGGGCGCGTGCGCTCGCCAGACAGACAGAGAGAGACATAGAGACAGAAAGCGAGAAATCACCCCCCAGGGGGGATGGTCACGCCGCAATCCCTTCTCCTCCATTCTCCTCCCGGGATCTTGGGCACGCACGCACACGCGCCTGGAGTGAGTTTTAAGCCACCGGGTCCGGGACACGAACCGCGGTCAACTACGTGGGAGTCCAGTGACATAGCCATTACGCTAACTGCTGGTTCCCCAAGGTGCTCTTGAGTTGTAAGAATGAATGAACGGATGAATGAATACATTGGCCACTCTCATTGGCCACTCTCTCTTTCCTTCCCCACCTACCTGTGTTCCTCTGTCCTAGGATGATTAAAGGACAGCTCCGTGCCTCCTTGAAGTCCTTTAGAACTCCTAGATCTCTTACTCACCTTCTGGATTTGTTCGTTTCCAGACCTCACTTTGTATGCCCAGTACTTTTGGAACGTGGCATGGGCCGGCTGCCTGCAGTTGTGGGTTCAGGGTTAGACTTTTCCTGTAGGTGGTTTCACTTGCAGCCAGGATGCTCCCTGAGGGCAGGTACTCTGCCTGGCACAGAGCCCGGTGAAAATTATTTGCTGGATGCAGGGTCAAACGAATGAATGAACATGGACAAAAGGTGAAGTGCTCCGAGCTGTAGATGATAGCTGAGCTCTAAATCTTGGGGGACGTCCACAGGGGATAGCCTCTGCCTCCAGGTTTTGGGAAGAAGAGTTCCTACTGCTGCTGGGCAGATATTATGCTGGGCCCTGAGCGTCGCTGTATAGTCCTGAGACATGGATGGGAAATGAGGAAGACCCCCATGGATGCTGTCTAAGAAATGATTCTCCGAGTGCAGCCTCAGTGGGAAGAATGAGAGGATGAGGGAGGAGAGGAGCAGACCCCCGAGGCCAGGAGGTGCAAAAGAGCTGCATTTGCACTTGGGCAGTGGATGGTTGTGAGTGGGGGACAGAAAGAGCCTTAGGCAGAGTAAGTCCTGGCAGGGTTTATGTGGTCCTTGCCTTCCTCTTCCTCCTCATCTGGGCAAGGCTTTCCTGTCCTGGAGAAGCCATTTTTTTACCACTCAGTGGTCTACAAGGCCAGCCCCCGAGAAGATCCCCACATCCTTCCCTTTGCATGAGGCCTGCCTGGACCTGGGCTGCAGGGCCAGCTCTGCCGCTGACTTGCTATGTGCCCTTGTGCAAGTCAACATGTTTTCATGGCCATCTCTGTTCTGAGCCCTGGCTTGCAGCTTAGACATGTGTTTCCAGGTGGGCAGATTGAGTTCCCAGGAGGGGTCAGGGTTTGATGAGTCTCCACCCCTTAAAAGGGATTCTCTGGAATCTTCCTTTCTACTTGCCTCTGAAGGGTTCGCGATCGAACTATTGGGTGAGGCATGGTGGACTCCCTTCTCCCTGTTTCAGTTTCCTTTGTGGGGTGCCCCTGGGGACTGCAGGCTGTGGAGGGGAGTCAGGCACTTGTGTGGGTGGCCATCCTTGTGGCCATAAGATTCTGGCTGAATTTCTTCCAGCAATTTCCCTTCCTCCAAAGAAAGTTCTGCTCGGAGACAAAGAACTTGGCTTATTCCTTAGAAAAGTCTTGCATCCGTTTTACACAGGAAAGATCAGGGCCACTGAGGGTGGGGACTGGCCCAAGGGCAGGTGGCAGGTGACTGGCACCCTCGAGGACCCTGGCCCCAGGTAGCCTCAGAGGAGCCACTCCTGCTTTGCCGGGGTGCAGCCCCATGTCAGGCCCGGCCCCACGACAGGCCAGGCGTGGCTGCAGGTTGGGTGCCTGCTGCAGGAGCACAGCGGGCCTTTGTGCCAGGAGGGCCCCACCCCCTGGCCGGCCCCTCCCAACTCGCCTTAGGCCCTTACCTGCCCGCCCGCCGCGCTGGGCCACCAGCTCCTGGTTCGCGCTGCCCCTGAGCTGCTCTCAGACGGCTCAGCGCAGCGCAGTGCAGGGTCCCCGCGCTCTTGCCCTGCTGCCCCGACGTCGCCGGTCCTCCTCCCCCGGGGCTGATCATTAACCCAGAGGCCGTATAAGGAACAAGTGGCATCGGCGGGCGGGAAGGACGCGTCGCCGCCGCCATGGACAGTAGCACCTTGAGCCCCGGGATCCCCACCACCGCCGCGCCCCTCGCGCCCCACGAGCGCATCCGCAATGCGGCCGACATCTCCGTCATCGTCATCTACTTCTTGGTGGTGATGGCCGTCGGGTTATGGGTACGTGGGGGCCCTGGGACGCGGGCTGAGGGACGAGGGGGTTGCACAGAGGAGCCCCGCCTCCCTGAGCGGCAAGGTGTCTGGGAGACTCAAGAGTCTGCGGAGAGGAGTGGAAGTGACTCGGAGCAATTGAGAGAAGTTCAGGGGTACAGTGGGAGATGGGGAGCGAGGCAAGCAAGAAGGAGCAGAAGTGACACGGATGTCTGGGGAGCCTGCCCGGAGGCCCCAGGAGGATGCCCGGGCTGTGAACAGAGAGGGAAGGTGGGGCACGGGAGTGACCAGGGGAGTCTGCAGAGGGCAGGGAAGGGACACCTTGGAGTTGCAGAGTGGGTCCAGGGGCTTGGGAGATGAGCCCCAAGGAGGTGACCACCGTCCTCCCTCTTAGTCATCCCCGTTCTGATGGGAAAGAAGCAGTGCAGGGCAGGAAAACCACAGCCTCTGCCCGCTGCAGGTGCTGGGGGGCAGCCCATGGGGCAGGGGCTGGATCCTAGTTAGAGATGGGGAAGCTGGGTGCAGGAGGAGGAGGAGGAGGAAGAGGAAGGCCAGAAGGTGCCTTGGTAACTGGCAGAGGGAAGTGTGTCGTGTCTCTCCTTTGGGACTCTGGGGACACAGCAAACCAGAGAAACTTGTTCTCAGCAGCCTGGAACTTGGAAATTTCACTATGACAGGTTCTGGCACACCCGATGACGAGAAGAGGTGTTTTAAAAGTGTGTAAATAGTCCAGCTGGGCTCCCTGGTTGTTGCCTGGGTTGGCGGGCTGTTGGGGCTTCAGCTCTGGCCGGTGGTTGTGTTGAATCACACTCGAAAGTTTTGGCTTAGAAGAGAGAGTGGGCATTAACCCTTTCATGGACTCAGCTGTTTTTGGGGTTAAAAGGAAGTATTGGTTCTTTCAAAAGTATTGTTAAGGGACCAGCAGCGGGTGTAATGGTTATATTGCTGGACTCCCAAGTAATTGACCGTGGTTCGAATCCTGGACTTGATGACTTAAAACTCATGCCCGGTGCATATGTGTACATGCCCAAAATCCTGAGAGGAGAATGGAGCAGGGATTGCAGCTTCTCACTTTCTGTCTCTTGGCGAGTGCACACATCCTATAGCAAAAATCTCTCTAAAAAATATTGTTAAGTATCTGTTTCTTTTTTATTCCTTTTAAGTTGACTTCTTTCTTTTGTGTGAGAGGGAGAGGGGCAAAGAGAGGAAGACAGAGGAAGGCAGGCATCCCCAACGGGATCTTGACTCTGTGATCCACCCCTGGCCTCATCCAGCCTGGATCACAGGCATGTGCTTGTGTGTACAGGGAGACCTCTGGATGCCAACCTGGGTCCTTCCTGTGTGGGCGTAGGATCACTGCTTAGAACCACTGCTGCTGCCTGCTTTTTAAACACAGGGAATCGTAGAAATCAGGTGTGACTGAAGACTCCTAAGTGTCGCAGGGACAAAGAGCGAGTAGCCCTGATGGGTGTGAAGGACAAGGGGAAAAGGGCTACTGTTCTATCTGTTCTTATGACTCTCCAAGGTTGTGGTGAGGATCTACAGAGACGAATCTGAAAGCTCTTCGTGGACTGTAGGAGTTTATTTTTAAATCATTATTATTTTTTATACTATCATTATTTTCCCTTGAGGGTTTTTGGGGCCCTGGGATGGAGGCTGAATCCAGGCCCTGAATTGTTTGGTCCTTTTAAATAAAATAGGCAAAAATGGTCAACTAGGTAGTATATCTTTACAAAAAGCCACAAGACAAGGAAGGCAGGAATGCTAATATTCCCATTTTCAGAAGGCTAATGTTCCAAAATCGAAATCCCGTGTGGTTGTGATTTGTCTAAGACTGAAATATATGCTATTGTGTCTGAACATCCAAGTTTCTGGAACTCACATCTTTTTATTTCAATTTGTTTGAGAGATTTTTGCAATAGGGTGCACGTGCTTGCCAGAAAGACAGAGAGACAGAGAGACAGAAAGTGAGAAATCGCTTCCCAGGGGGAATGGCCATGCCACAATCTCTTCTCCTCCATTCTCCTCTTGGGATCTTGGGCATGCATGCACATGTGCCCGGCATGAGTTTAAGCCACTGGGTCTGGTACTCGCACCACAGTTCACTACATGGGAGTCCAGCAACATAGCCATTACGCCAGTTGCTGGTCCCAAGAACTTATATTTCTTAAGTCCTGGCTTTCCACAGTATCCGGTACCTTGTCGTCTTGCCAGCCTTCTCTCTTGCATTCTCAGTCCAGCTTATTAGTGCTAAAGCCTCGCTGTGAACCCATCCGTGGTCAGCTCTGCTGTAGTGCCCATTTCCTACACCCATTGCTGATAATCTCCTTTCCCTTAGCCAATCCCATTTGCCAGACCCTGGAGGTGTTGATTTTTTTATGGTATTTACACTTCTCAAATATCTGTGAATCATATCACTTGTTCTGTTAAATGCTACTTAATGAGCCTGCTAGTATTTGTCCACGTTAATCTTCCCCCATTAGCTTATACCTCTGAACCCTGATCATTTAAGTGCTGGATTTCATCCAGTTTACAGTCCTTTTCTGGCTACTGAAGCGTCAAGAGCGACTTGGTTCAGGGATGGTCATCCTGATTCCTGCATGATCTCTGCACAGCCTAGATTAAATGGTGTAGGCCCACGTGCTTCCTAAACTTAGGAAAGACACCCACAACCAGGGTCCCTCTGTCACTATCCCCACCTCTCCCAACATTGTTTTGTTCTGTTTCATCCACTCTATGATATGTGGGCTTCAGCTTATTATTCCTCAGTGTTTATTTCCATTTTTGTTTTTTTTTGCCACTTCTTTGTTTCATGAGAGACTTTATATTGTTTTAAGTTGAATGGCTGACTTTACTATTTTTCTTTATTTATTTTTTGGAGAGGTTTTTACTATAGGATGCGAGTGCTTGCCAGAAAGAGAGAGACAAAGAGACAGAAAGTGAGAAATCACCTTCCAGGGGAGATGGCCATGCCGCAATCCCTTCTCCTCCATTCTCCTCTAGGGATCCTGGGCATGCACACACACGTGCCCGACGTGAGTTTAAGCCCCCCGGTCCGGGACTCAAACTGTGGTCGACTACATGGGAGTCCAGCGACATAGCCATTACGCCAACTGCTGGTCCCACTGACTTTACTATTAAAAAAATAGATTTATTTATCAGTTTATATAACAGTGCTTTCTTTTATTAAGATTATTTATCTTTCTGATTTATTTATTAAAATTCATTTATTTTAAGATTATTAATTTATGGGGCCAACAGGTGGCATGGTGGCTAAGGCATTGGTTTTTACAACATGGCTGACTGCAGTTGGGCCCCAGCTGCAGTCAGCTTGAAAATCATGCTGAGTGTGTGTGCGCATGCTCAAAATCCCAAGAGGAGAATGGAACAGAAGGGATTGTGGTGTGGCCATCACCCTGGGAGGGATGGTAATTTTTTACTTTCCCTCTCTCTTTCTCTCTGGCAAGCGCATGCGTCCTATGACCAAAACCTTAAAAAAAAAGATTATTAATTTACTTCTTCCCTGAGAGGTAGAGAGAGAAGAGAAAGAGAGAGAGAGAGAGAGAGAGAGAGAGAGAGAGAGAGTTTCTTAAGCTCTTCCTTATTCTTCCATTTGCTCAATCATATTCGTATTGCTTGAGAAAAAAGCAGCAATGGAAAACAAAACCCAAAATGTCATGAGTCAATATCGTGTGTCTTTTGCCCCTGCAGCTTGCAATTGTGAGTTTGTTATTTTCTAGCTGCAGGGAGGACAGGTGAATTTAATACTGTAGCTTACACAGTGGGGTCTGGAACCATGCAGTTTCCCTTTGGGTACCTCTTGTTAACAGAACAGTGCTTTTCTGTGCACAAAGCATTATACTAAGCATTAGGTGGGGTTCCAAATTTGTGAGATGGTAACACACAACTAAACAGAAAGACTTGAAGCAAGGGCTGTAAACGAGATATTGATGGGAGTTCCCAAGGTGTTCAGGGGAGGGAGGGATCCTTTTTGTTTAGGGGGTAGAGTAGATTAGACCATATGGAAGGAGAAGGTCTCTGAGGGAGTGTCTTCGTGGGATAGGTGGGGTGCAAAGGACCTAAAGAATGGATAATTAGGGTCTGGGCTTGGCAAGGTGAGGGATGAGGGATGGACATTCCAGGGAGGTCAAGGACTGGTAAAGACACACCTCTCTTCATCTTTTGTCTATTCCCAACACCTTTCCTGAATTGGTCCAGATCCCCTCTTGTCCCTGCCCTCACATTCTTCCTCTAAGCTCTTCATTTCTGAGACCACCTGGGAAATGTCTATGTCTGGGCCTGAACCCACTTATTTTTCCTGTCAACATTCCAAGGTAGCAGTGAGAGTACTGAAGATACATGTCATTTCTCTGCTCACGAACCTTCAGTGGCTCCCTACTGCCTGTGGACTAAAGCTTGTACTTTCTAGCTTGGCATTTGATGGGCTGTGTTCTGTCCCACTTCTCACCAGTCTTGCCATTCAAACAGGAACCTCACCTGGGTTCACTAGTTAATACTACTGGCCATTCCTACCCACCCACATAAGTGTGATTCCATCTCTACATCATCGACCTGCTGTTCCTGTAGTCTGAATGTCTCTCTTTTTCTGTGACTAATAAAATATAGCTTTTTCTTTAAGAATTGCTGAAATGCTACCTCCTTGGTGAAGCCTTTTCTGATAGACCAGGCAGCAGAAGGAATCCTCTCCTTTCTCTTTATTTACTGGAGTGGTTATAATATGTGAAAAGTTGTAATTTCATTGAGATCCTACTTACATCTTCATAGAGGAAAGGTTTTTTTTGGGGGGAGGGGAATTCTTTTTTTTTTGCCAGAGAGGGTGTGTACTTGACAGAGAAAGGGGTTGGGGGGGGAGAGAGAGAGAGAGAGAGAGAGAGGGAATAGGGGAATAGATCTTTTCAAGAATGCCACAGAGTCACCATTTCCTTCCAGGTTTAGCTATTTTTTAACCATGAACACTTTTGGGTTTACTGTATCCTTTGACTAATTTCCAGAGTACTAAAATGGTTGTTTTTACTAATTCTGTCCAATGTTAATACTTTTTCAGGGAAAGAATTTGCCAACTTCCTCATGCCATCACAGCCATTCAAATTTAAGACTACTTCTACAGCAAATAATTTTTTCCACAGAATGTTAATGAAGTACAACCAAAGTACTTAATTAATTTCCTCATATCATTAGTGGTCTTATATAGAGAGAAAATAATTCCTATTAAAATTTAACCAAAGGCCAGCCCATAGCATGGTAGTTAGGCAGCTGGATCCTACATGGCTGACTGTATATTTCAAGTCTGGACCTGGAGGCTTCAGAAACACTCCATGTGCATTTGGGAGCATGCTCAAAAACCCCAAAAGAAGTTATTGCAGTCTGACCATTCCCATAGGGGGAAGCTTGCCTGCTTTCACTCTCTCTCTCCCTACCTGACCCTGCCTCAACAAGTGCATGTACGCTATGGCAAAATCTTTTTTTTTCTTTTCGAGAGACAGAGAAAGCACTCTCAGTGGGAACATGGTCACACTGCAATCCCATCTTCTTCATTTCTCCATCCTGTAGGAATTTTGGGCATGAACACACACATGCCTGGTGTATTTTCAAGCCACCACGGTCAGGATTCAAATTGTGGTCAGCCATGTGGGACTCAACTCCCTTAACCATTCGGTTCCAAAGAGGAAAGATTTGAATTGAGTTTGAATGTCTGGTATTTCATGTACTATTTAGTACAAATAACTTGCGTTCTTATAGCATTTTCATTTCTTTGGTAACAGCTTTATTGAGATATAATTTACACACCGTGTGGTACTTTTTAAAAGCACAGTATTTCGTTAGGCACCTTGATGCATTTACAAGGAAAGCATGAACAATTCCAGTTCTTTCTGTTTAATAGACAGATACATGCATGTGGGATGACTTGCTTCAGTCATGTTGTAAGCTAAATGCAGAACTAGCACTGGGACGAACTGGGCCTCAGTTTCCTTGTCTGTCAGATGTAGAGCTCATCCTCTTTCATCTGCATGTATTGAGGTTAGGAGAATAAAGATTGTGAAGTAAGTAGAAGAAAGTGTTGGTGTGTGGGGAGGCTTATCCTTTTGGCTGGCAAAGCCACTCTTCCAGTTTTCTATTACATTTTTGAACCTTTCCTCCTCAGGCGATGTTTTCCACTAATCGTGGGACTGTTGGCGGTTTCTTCCTGGCAGGCCGAAGTATGGTGTGGTGGCCGGTAAGTTTTCTCTGAAATACAATTTATGTGACTGTGCTGTTTCCTTAAGGAACCCATTTTTTATTTTTCTTGACTTCGGGCCATGGTGTTTCTTCCTTCTCACCTAGTTACTGGACAATGGGTTTCGCGCTCACCAGGTCTCCTGGGCACTCTTCATTTCTTTGGTAAGGGAATAGCTTTTAAATAAAGAGTGCTTGGAATCCTTCAAGGGATAAATAGAGGAAAAGACAGCACAGACTGGGTAGTGTGGAGACACAGAAAGAACACACAGACTAAGGAAGTCTAGGGTAAAAGCCGAGATTCTGTGTTTGTATCTATAAGATGGGGAGAGTAATATTTACCTTCCAGGGCTGTTGTGAGAACTGAAAACCTCTTCTGGGGTGGAAACTCAATAAGTAGAAGTTATTTTGCTACTCCTGTTCCACTTTCATCCCACAGAGGAGAGATTATTTTGGGGGGGGGCGGGTCCTACCTCTGGAGCCTAATGCAGTGCCTGATGCTCAATATTCACTGAATGGATGGAGGATGAATGCCCTACTACTTCAAATTACAGTTTTACTCTGGATGCGGTTTTCACATCTCTTCACGGATTTTATATTTTGTATATTGTATATTTAAGAGTTGTCTTCCCTGTCACGTGTACATGAGCAGGACTATCTCTAACCGAAGCCCTGTGAGGAGTGGTGGAGGAGCTAGAATGCTCCTTCCAGCATATCAGTACGGGGCCCTGCCTGGCTTATCAGTTCAGCCCAAGGGTTATTTTGATCCAGAGTTCTCACCAAAGCAACTAGTTGAAAAAATTGGTCAAATTTGCAACTTTTTGGGCTTATTACATAAGGAACACTGATTGATGAAAGAGATGAGTAACAAAGCATGCATTTAATGAGAAGAGAGTGGCCATTGTAAGTTGACTGAAGAAAAAAAATGCAAGAAGGTAAAGACTGTCACAGTCATGGTATGTATAGCATGGAGAGAAGTTATCTTGCAGTTGGCCTCTCCGCAGCTCTTTCGGGATGAATTTGAATAACTGGCATCTTCACAGTTGGCTCAGTTATCCTTGAAGTCATTTCTGTTTTTAAAATTTTTCAGTTATGATAATTATTAAGAGCATGTGTGCTTGCCAGAGAGAGAGACAGAAAGACAGAGGAGGGGGAGGAATGCTCTCCCTGACCCCGAATTGTTCATGGTCGTACTGCAATCCCTTCTCATCCATTTCTTCACCCTGTTGGAATTTTGGACACACACTCACATGTGCCTGGCATGTTTTGTAAACCACTTGGGCTGGGATTCGACTATGGTCCATCTTGTGGGATCTGACTCTCTTAACCATTAATCTATGGGGCTGGTCCTTAATTTTTAATTTTTTTGACCAATAAAAATTGTATGCATTTATTATGTACATTGTAATGTTTTGATACATGTATAACTTGTAAAATGATGCAGTCAAGCAAATTAACATATCTTTCTGTGTGTGTGTGATGAGAACATCTATGAATCTAATCTCCTAACAATTCTCAAGAACACAGGCCATTATTATTAACTATGGTCACTGTCTGTGTAAAAGATCTCTGGAGTTTAGTCAACCTAAATAAACTCTGTACCTTTTAATCAACATCTCTCCATGTACCACTCCGCCCTCCAACCCACCCAACGCCTGCCAACCATGATTCCTCTCTCTACTTACTTACTTTAAAATTTGCCAGAGGGTGTGTGCACTCCCAGAGAGAGGGAGAAAGCACCCCCAATGGGGTGTGGTCATGCCACAGTCCCTCCTTCTCCATTTCTTCATCCTGTCAGGACTTTGGGCACTCACGTACATGTGCTTGTCATGCTTTTTAAGCCACCAGGTCCAGGTCTTGAACCATGTAGTTGGCTCCAGCTCCCTTAACTAGTAAGCCATGGAATCTCCCTGTATTCTCTAATTCTCTTATTTTGACTTTTTTAGGTTCCACATACAAGTAAGATGATGAAAGGGTTTCTATTTTGTTCTTAAGGTGTCTGAGAATACTGGGAGGATGCTGATTTCTGCTTGGAGTCTTTCATGGTGGTCCTTCCTGACACCCTGTGGAGGTACACACATTCGGATACCTCCTTTTAGTCCTGTGCCAAGGCGTTTTGTCTCCTCATGTTTTGGACTTTGATGCTTTCTTGAAATTGAGAGTTAAAGAGGAAGCTCTCATGGCAAAATCCAAGACAAGGCTAGGGCAGTTCCTCTAGAGCTGTGCTGTCCACAATCCAGGCCACTAGCCATGTTGGCTATTACAATTAAAATGAGATAAGTTAAGCGTTTCTTTCCTCAGTCACACAGCCATATTTCAAGTGTTCAACAGTCAAGTTGGAATAGTGGTTACTATATTGGACAGTCCAGCTCTAGAATATTCCTTTTTTTTTTTTTTCTTTTTAATTGCCAGAAGACATGTGCATTTACCAGAAAGAGATAGAAGGGGGGGGCGGAGAAAAAGAGAGAGAGAGAATTTATCCTCCAAAGGGGTGTGGTCATGCCACAATCCCTTCTCCTCCATTTCTCCACCCTGTCTGGATTTGGGGCATGCATGCACACATGCCCAGCATGTTTCTCAAGCTACTGGGGCTGAGATTTGAACTGCAATTGGCCATATGGGATCTGGCTCCCTTAACCACTAGGCTCTAGGGCTGGCCAGAGCAGACAGTTCTATTGGACAGTGCCACACTGCAGATTTCAGATCTGAGGTTGCCATGAAATCTCAACAGACTTAAGATGTGCTGAATTAGAGAGCTAAACAGTACCTTGAAGGTTAATTACTTTGAAAATGGTGCACCTTACCCCATCTACTGCCTCAGGTCCCCTATACCAAGTTTGCTAAATGTTCGTACAGCCTCACTTTGTACCCAGCTCCCCTTTCTCCCCTTTCTTTTCTCCATTCCATGACAAGAAACTCACCATTTTCAAGGCAAATTATCCCATTTTCAGACAGCTATTCTTTCTTTCTTCTCTTTCTTTTCTCTCTTTCCTCTTTGTTTCTCATAATTTGTTGGAGTGCAGGTGCATTCACTGGAGAGAGAGAGAGAGAGAAGATTGCCCTGATAGGGCATAGTCATACTGCAATCCTTTCTCTATTTCTCCCTCCTTTTGGGATTTTGGGTATGCATGCATATGCACTGGCATGTTTTCCAAGCCGCTGGATCTGGGACTCAAACTGTACAGTTGGCCATGTTATTTTTCTTTCAATTGACTGTAATCAATATAAAATTATATGTTCATTTTAAAAAAGAACTATTTCATTTACTTTATTTAATCTGACCAGAGAAGGGGAGAGGGAGAGGGAGAGAGGGAGGGAGAAAGGGAGGGAGAGAGAGAGAGAGAGAGAGAGAGAGAGCGCCCTCCAGGTCTGGGACTCGAACCATGGTTGGTCATGTGGGAGTCCAGTACCCCTAACCACCATGCTGCCTGCCAGCCCCTATATATTCCTTTTAAAAATGTTTATCTTTCAAAAAAAACAGACTGTTACTCTTTTTTTAAAAGAAGAATTATTTATTTAATTTAATTAATTATTATTATTATTATTATTATTATTTCATTTGACCAGAGAGACAGAGAAAGCAAGATAGCAAGCCACTGGGTCCAGGACTTGAACTATGTTAGGCTGTGTGGAAGTCCAGTGCCTAAACCACTATGCCACCTGCTAGCCCTGAGCTAGTTACTCTTAACAGGATCTTGTCATACCTTGATCTGCTTCCCAGCCTTCCAACCAGTTCAGGTCACTGGCACACCCAGCGTGTTCAGGTCAATCCAGGATCTGGACCTGGATCCTCCCAGATGGCTCCAGTATTATACATCAGTGCCCTACTGCCTGTGCCACCACGACTGGACCGAAATTGTATCTCTTCATGTAAAAATTTTAGGGCTGATTTGTTGAGGTCAGCTTTCAGTCTCTGGATCTTAAAAAAGTCAACAAAGGGAGGAGGCACCAGGAAGAACCACCCCTAGCAGATAGGCATTTTGGGTTAGGTCTGGGAACATGTTACATCTTACCCGGCAATGATTCCTTTCTTCCTGATAGCACCCAAGGCTAGCTCTGGGCTGAGGAGAGGGATTAGCCCCACCCAAATCAGGTAGGGTTCACTGGTTTATATGGGGTTTCCTGCGGGTGTTGTTTTCCTTGTGTGTCTCAGGATCGGATTATTTTAACCAACAGAGAAACATGGCTTGATTCTTCTTTTGTGCAGAAACTCAACGCTTCCTTAATGGGACTGACATTAGATTCTTCTCCCTCTAACCATAGTTTCCGTCTAAGATGTCATGAGATTATGTTAATGATTTCCAAAACTGCCCAGGTATCAGAATCTCGTGAGACGATGCACTATGCCTGGCAAGTGGGCAATAAATGGGAATGCAAGAAACAGAAGAAAAAGATGGCCCCATGGCCTAGTGATTAAGGGAGCCAGATTCCACATAGCTGACTGGGTTTGAATCCCCGCCTCTCCCTTCCCCCCAGCAACCTGACTTTTACTTATTTTATATAAGAGGAATCTGCTAAAATTTTGCTTGAAAACAAGGTTCTGCTAACTGATAGTTTAAAATCTGCTAATTTACAAGGAAAAATAAATGGGATAATTTCCATCATAAAATTTAAAATAGTTTGAAAACACCACAGTACACACCTGAGAGAAGAAACTAAAGGAAAACATGGCATGCAAAACAATACACATCTAAGAACTTTCCCTCCCAAACTGAGGTTTTAAACCACATCAAATTTCTAAGTTTCCCTTTGAAATAAAATGCTAAGGCAGTTCAGGCTTGTCACTTGTTAGTATATTCATAACTAGAACATCATTTTTTAAAAAATTGCCAAGGGCCGGCAGGTGGCATGGTGGTTTAGGTGCTAGACTCTCACATGGTCAACTGTGGTTTGAGTCCCGGACCTGGAGGCTTGCTCTCTCACTTTATCTCTCTCTCTTCTCACTTTCTTTCTCTGTGTATCTCTCTGATGAGTGCATGTGCCCTATAGAAAACTTAAAAA